GTCTGAGCCCCACGTTTGGCTCTGTGCTGACGCCTCAGAGGCTGGAGCCTGCTTCTCCTTCTGTGTCTTCCTCTGCCCCTCCTCGCTCGTGCGGAGTGCCTCTGTCTCTCTCTCTCAAATAAGTACGCATTAAAAATATTAAAAAGATGCAGTAGTCACTGTAGCGGGGAAGCATTAGAGTCTAGAATGCTGGTTCTGCTTGTTCTCTGTAAGTCGCCCCCACCACTCTCCTCATCTGAAACATGGGTGGGTGGGAGTCCAGGTGGGCTGTGGTGGAGGTTCCTGGGGCAGGGAGCCTGGGAGCTAGTGGGCCCAGGGTACGGCCCCTCCCGTGAGTGCCCCGGAGCCAATGAGAATTGACTCAGTCCCATCACCGCCCATCCCCGGTTCCCCACGCGGTTCTCCGCTTGCTTAGCAACCAGGGAAGGTCGGGAAGAGAACGTGCGCTCCTCCGCAGCCGCCCGGTAAGTACCACGCCTGCCACCCGCCTGCGGCTGCTCCGGTCTCCGCCCCCTACCCCAACCCCGCGGGGTCGCAGGGCCCAGCTCCGGTCCCTCCCAGCCCCAGCGCAGAATCCTGCCGCGATGCTTGGCAACCGTTGCTAAGGCCGAGCACAGGCCCCGCCCCCGCTGAGCGCGAGCCCAACGTCACTTCCGCAGGCGACCCCTTCCCGACCCTGCTGCCCCACATCTCGTGAAAGGATCGAAGCCACCCGCACAGGTTCTTGCTGGTGCCTGCTGCTGTGGCGCGGGTCGGGTACGACTGTGGGGCGGGGAGCGTGGCCTATGCCCTGGCTGGGGGGGGGGGGGTCCGCTGAGTCCCCAGGGCAGCCCCTGAGCCTGGGAGCGAGTCCCGGCTTGCAGCGTGCTGACGTCCCGTCCACAGGGCGTTTAGGGGGAGCTGGCGGAGCACAGCGGCGGGCGGGCGGGCGGGAGATGTGACATAGGTCGCCGGGTGGAGGGTGATTCCTCTGCTGCGCTCGCTTGGGGGCCCGGAGCGTTCCCAGTGTCCTGATCTGGGACACGCTGCTGCTAGTCCCCTTCCCCGGGGCGCGGTGGGGACCAGAGGTGCCCTTCAGTGACCTGCTTGTTTTCACCAGGTGCACACCTGCTCCCTTCGGGGGCGCGGGAGCCTGGGGGCTGCCATGGCCCCCAGCCACCTGTCAGTGCGGGAGATGAGGGAAGACGAGAAACCCCTGGTGCTGGAGATGCTGAAGGTGAGAGCAGGCGGCGGGGGTGGGGGGAGCGGGCCTGGGTGGGGGGCGGCATTGGGGGCGGCTTCAGCCGCCTGCCTGAGCCTGCTCTGACTCCTGGAAAGGGATCGCTCCCTCCTAAGCGGCTTTCTGGCTCGGTCCCTTCTTTTTCTGCTGCCTTCTTTCTACCCTCAGGGTCAGAAAGGTTTTTCATAGCTGGAGGGCCGTGGGGCGACCCCGGCACAACTCCCTCCCTCCTCTCGGACACAGATCTGCCCTGTGCCAGCCCGCTGAGCACCC